ATATATATATATATATATATGTGTGTGTGTGTGTGTGTGTGTGTGTGTGTACTTGTTACAATGTATACTTGTTAAATGTAAATTTTGATAACTTGGATTGCGCTAGCAGAGATAACCTTAAATCTAACAAACACAGGCTAAAAATGATATCAAATTATTTTTCTTTTCTTTTCGGGTCACTGATGGAGAAACACTTTCTTGTGCAATAAACTCCCAAATGGAGGGCATGTCATTGTGTGTAAGAGTCTATTTTTAGTACAATGAGCTACATTTGAATAAGTTGTATACTGTATGTGTGTTTACCGGCAGCTGTGCTGGTTAAGTGTCTTCCCTCTCTTTGTACAGCTCATCTTCCTCAAACTGCACCTGCATTCACAAGAAGGGGGCTGTGATGTCATCCTGCGGGTGGGGCACGGAGGACACGCCTCTCTGACAGGTGGTGGAGGGGCGGAGCTAGGTGGTAGAGTGGGAGAGGGAGGAGGAGGAGGTGTAGTTGGCACGAAAGTCCTGTTGGCACGAGAAGACAGAAAATCAGCTGTTGGTGTGAAATAAAGAGTGCATGACCTTCACATGCCTTAAAGGAACATTTGGACCAAATATAAACATTTTGTTATTATTTATTTTGTGTTAAATTTAGAAAAGGTACAATAGCTTTCAAAAGGCATGAATTTGTACTATTTAGGTACTATGTACTAATGTGCACCTTTAAGGGTAAATACTGTACAAAGGTGAACATTTTGAAAAGGTACCACCCCAGACGGCTTTTGTACCTTTTTTTCTGAGCATGCAGTAAACATAAAATACATTTTAAAGGCTGAAAATAAGTAAATTATGAAAAATATTAATTTTGTTGATAAACTATTCTTTGAGTTCAGTTTAAAGTTGTGAAAACTGTGAAGAGGTCCTAAAGTTACGAGGAATTTTAAAATAGTAAGAAGTAAGAATAGTAAGAAAATAAGAAGAGTAAGAAAAGCCTCCAAGTAATTGAGTTAACACAATTCTAATTATAATACTGATTCTGACAAATCCAGCTCCAAGAGAATTATGTAAAACTGCTACAATGGACAAAGAGCACGTCGGTCCTTGCAATCATTAACTTTGCAAAACCAGACCCAAGCCTGCATCTCCACATTAGACTTGAAATTAAATTCAGTAGCAAGCACTAAAAGACCCATAATGCATTCTGATCATGCACCAGCCCTGATCTTCTTTTTGGACGGCACCACAGATATACTCTGGAAAGTGTCTGTGGCCGCCAGTTCTTTGATGACTCATTTGTGATATCTCTGATGGGATGGTGGGCTGATGGGGTTGTTTTTCCCTCTCCCCTTTATTTTAACCAAACCAAAACTGGAGAGAAGTGTACGGCTGAGAGTTAATTAAGGAAGAAAATCAATCTTTGTGTGGAAGTGGATTGAGAGGCTGATAGAGCCATTGGAGGGGAGGCAGAGGAAAAGGGAGGGACGTTCTGGCTGCCAAATTATCCTGATTTCACACTTGCCACTGACTATCCATGGAGGAGTAGATGATGGATAACAGGGAGGAAAAAACGGTTCAAAAGAAGCGGCCTCCACTTGCCCTCACCAAAAACCAATGACGAAAAAGCGAAAGTAGAAAAGGAAGGAGAGGAACTGTTGAATTCTTTCCCTGACCAGAATGAATTAATTGTTGTCTGAGTAGAAGTCAATGTTGCATGCATAAACATGCAATACGGCACTTATGAAAAAAGAGGGATTTCGAAGAAAATATTCAGCTCTCATTGACCAGAAACTCATCCATGGGATTCATGTACACTGTTGCTTCAAAATAGGTTTTAATATTTAATAATATTGATGGTACTAAATAAATGAAGGCAACGCAAAGTTGAATTATTATGCATCTTGCTAAACTGCTGCTATTAAATGTCCATCAACAGTAATTTCTACAATGGCAAAAAGGTACCAAAATGTACCAATGTGGTAAATGAATATGACAATCATTCCATACTGAAGTATATCTTAATATATATATATATATATTTATATACTGTATATATATATATATATATATATATATATATATATATATATATATATATATATATATATATATATATATATATAT